TTCTGCTTTAAACGGAGGTGTTATTAAATTTTGTGCATTTATTCGTTCTCGTTTAATTTTAACGAGATTTTGTGTAATTATTCATGTCATTTAAATTTCAAGAGAACAGCACCAAAAACTTTGCCATTATTCGATGTAGAAGAAACAAATTTCTCGATGCTAAATAATTTCCCGTAAAAATGTACGTTTCCCATTTATGAGAACGATATTTTCATTCGGTTATATTTATGAAAACAATAATTACTCTTATTATTTTAATTTCAAGAAAATAGTGTCTTCGTGGTGGTTCAATAAAAATGAAATAAATCAAAGGTATCCTGATCGTGAACGATGTCTAGTAAAAGCGCAACGTTTCGAATTTATGCGAACGATACCAGGGCAACCACAAAACGTAACGTAATATTCGTTTTCCGTTATTAAAACTATACGGTTTATTAGTAGGTGCCTGCGTGCGTTTCATACGTATACATAAATATTTATGATGCCGAAAGATCGATAGAATGGGATGCGGCATCGGTGCCCGATATAATGCGGCTCGATTTGTACAACTTGGCGAAAGTAGAAACGGTTACGGGCCTTATCCATATTCCCTTGTTACGAACTCGATCGTAAAAAACGACTCGTACGAATATTTTCTTTTTTTTTTTGTACTCGTAACCAAGCTGGATGAAAATTATCTCGCACGGAACACCGAGTCCAAGTATTGTACATCTGCTATGTTTCCTCTTGCTCGTGTAAGAAAAAAAAGCAATCGAAATAAAACGGTCAATAATAAAAAAATTAGTTCTTACTTCGTGAAACAGTTTTCCCCAGAAAAAAAAAGGTTTCTCGCCATTTTAGAATTTATCGAATTCATTTAATTTCTTTCTTTTCTGCTTTCATCCGAATCAGAGTTTCTCATGGATTTTTTTTTTTTTGAACTTTATCGCATAAACTTTGGAATTTGTAACTTTTTCGAGTAACTTCATTTTTGCGAGCAGAATCGAAATGAGGAGTATACGAAAGAAATATTTTCTTTTAAGGTTTACACTGAATGTATTCTTATTCATAATTAATGCACGCCGAGTAATTGTGATCATTGACTAACAGATTAATCGAAGTGAATGTAATTATCCAGTATAATTGACTTATTCATATGCGAAATGATTGCATTATTGTTCCAATTGTTTTGGAATTTTAATGAGGTCTTAAATTAATAATAGTAGAATACTGTACGTGGAACTGTACGTTTATTAAGTGAATGTATGAAATAATTAAGGAAGTAATGAATGTTCAGGCACAGGTACAGTTTTCATTTAATATAACACTCCGAAAATTTCAAGCAGCATACCTCGAAGGTTTCATTTGATAATTTGGGTAACTTCAGCGTGTATATTATAGCAGCATGAAAATACGTAAATGAAAGGAGTAGTAAAGTAAACAAGAGAGTCTTCAATGGTGGAATATTTTTCCACTTGAATTCACGATCTTTTGTATTATACCCCTAATTTTTAAACACCTATATATAGTACAAACGTTATAACATTATTTCCAAATTTAATTCATCTTAAAAAGATAGTCAAAACTATTTATAAATATATAATTTATATTATCATTCTGTACATAATGCCCATCCATAAGTCACTGGTCACTCGTGGTACTGATCGCAGAATATGAACCAATTAATGTTACAAAATTACCTAAATTATGAGATAAACTAGGTCATTAATAATTCTGCTCATGGTAGAGAAAACGTGAATTACATACAGTGTTGTGAACAGTATGAAATATGTATTGAATTAATATGTTCATTACACTTGGAAATATGTACATATCTACTCGAATGAATCGTGGCAGTTTAACGCTGCACTTTCAAAATCTAATCTTCGCATTTACAAGAAATAATTACAACGATCGTGAATGATTTGTAAATCAATTAAAAAGAAGTAATCGGAAAAATATCGAACATGTGATGAATTTTGCACAGATTCGCAAACTCCTGTTGGAATAGCAAAAACGACTAATCGAGAAATGTTTGAAAAAATTCCGTCAACCCGACGACAGTTTCGAGAACATGAAGATGCGATAGGAAAAGCGGCATACAAAGTGGAAATTGCGTATTTTTAAAAGTAGTGCCTCGATGAGTATATCGACGTAGGTTCTTTCCAATTTACTACAGGTCATCGAGCACAAAGCATCTGATTTGTAATTCATGTGTACCATGTTTATCGAGTTTGTTTTCGTGTATCTAGCTCGAACGAGCTGATTTAATTAAGAGCCTCGAAGCTTCGTTATTAATAGACGCGAGCATTTAGTCTCTAAAAACCTAAAAAACAACAACCCAAACATAATTGTTTTTTGTAAAGAATGTAAATAACTAAGAAAATTGCGTATAAGAATGTAGAAAGTGCAATGAAAAATAAATCCTCCTAATTGCATTTCATTTCTAAATCGTTAATGGAGAAATTTAAAGGATGGAAATAATATTTCATAATTTATAACAACTAATGATAATCGTATTCGATGTCGTGGTAACCGAAAATTCGCGAAGTGAAATTATAGATTCGTAAGTGCTGTTAAGTTGGCAAATAGAACCGATATCTAGTATGAATATCGACGTATTTAACTGGATTTCTTATTAAATGCCAACCTAGTTGAGATAGGATATGCTCGCGATACGCCCCTATTTTCATTTCGCGTTTAATAAAGTTTATTTTAAGTACATTCGTACCTACATAATTAGACAGATCATAAAGCAAACAAGAAATAACGAACAAGTACAGAATATATATATTAAAAAGTTTCAATAAACGTCTGTCGAAATTTAATATCAACTAGACATCTACACTTTGCGTAATAAGCGAATAGCAGAATTAAGGAAAGTGTATATATTTGCAGCAATAATTAAGAATTGTGACGGCTGGATGGCCACCAGTTATTGCGACGCTTATGAGAGCTATGCGAATAATATAAATAATAGAATTTAATCTTTAGATTGCTGATATTTATGTAAACTTCGATTTCAGTAATTATTTTACGAAAATCAAAATCGTCGAAATATTTATTTCATCATTTAAAAGTTGTCATAACATAGAGATATAATAAAAGCATATTAGTATATTTGTTTATAATCTGTTTTCCACTATTTTCTTATGTACCCCCCCCCCCACCTTAAAATCATTATTTTGTATTTTAGTAGTTTCATAAAAAGTACAAATTATTTTTTATATAAATTATCAATTTATCTTTTGAAAAATTTCCTTACAAATTATTTTGCAAGTCACTTTACGAATTGACATATAAGAAGATCTGCATTTACAAATTTTTTAATAAAATATTCACATGAAAGGAAATTGAATAAATGAAACGTTGAATAGTTTTTCTAAATCCGTAATAATTTGAAATAACTGTTTCCATTTTGACAGAGAAATTGTATAATAAAGAATTCTATTCGAATCACAGGCACCTCCACATACAATCTCAAATATTTGTGTTGCAATAAATCAAACAATGTTATAAAATATTCAAAATACTATTTAAAAAATGGACATATATGGAGTGTGCAAATGCCATTTTAAACATTTGATAAAATAATTTTTAGTTCAGAAATTTACGTATTTCATACAACTTGTTCAGCGTTTTAGAGAGAAATAATTTATTGTTTTTCTGTTGTTTTATAAACTATGAAATATTTTTAGCAAATATTATTTATTTGGAAAATAATTTGACAGAGTTTCAAACACTCATGTGTCATTTGTCTTTCAGAATGGTAGGGAGGGGTGTGCAACGTTTCCCTCCAGGGTGGCTGACAATAGTATCCCATTAATCACACGAAAGACCCCCATGCACTCTAAAATGCCGAAAAAGAGTTTGTAGCTGTCCCTAATAGTTTATGATAATATAACATGTAATACTTCATACTGCCAACCTTGTATAGTACTCTCTATAACACGAAATGACTTAATCTTTGATATTATGATCAAAATATAATGCATAATTAATAACCATTAAATATTAAAAATATAGTTTAAATAATAGTTAATTGATTTCTACTTTTGTCATGATTAATCCAGATGAATTGAAATAAAATTATTTTTGTAAACGTTTATGAATTGTAGGAATAATTATTTATTTTACGTCATATTCTACTGTTTCAGTCAATTATTAATATATTTTTCGCAGTGACAAAAAATTGTAAGGGTTGTTTTAGCGCCTTGTTTTCGTTTTTAAGAGATAATTTACTTTTAATAAAATCCTTTAGTTTCAATGAACTTAAATTCAAAATTGAGGAATAATGATGACAATTTCAATGAAATTATTTAATATTTAAAAACTCAAAAATCATAGTGCAATTAAGTCTGTATAATATTTGTAGGATACGTAAATAAGATGAAGAAAATTTGTATTGCAATAATTAGAAAGTTTGAACAACGAAAGTTACATTAACGAGTCCCGCAGAAGATAACTCAATATTCCCTAGAGTTAAACACATTATGGTGGGTTCAGAGTGAGCAACGCTCAATACGCGACGCACTGAACCAATCGCGTGCCGGCTATTACTAACTGTTGGCCATCACTACTTATCCTGTACTTGTAAACATTCGATTAAAACCAACTACAATATACAATTGCACTTTTTTATCTAAACGTCAGTACAATTTTATTCCATAAGTGTTTACAAAATAAACGCATTAAATAACGATCTATTAATCATTTCTAAGTGAAACAATTATTAAAGTTTTTAATTACATACTTGTCTCGTAAGGATAACGCAGGCTCCGTTTAAAATTGGGATTAATTGAATCAGAACAAAATCAATGCCCGGGCCGCTCGCGGTTCAAGCGCCGTTTGAATAAAAATCACTAGACGGTGGGGCGCGCGTATGTATTCAAAAATACATGCACCTACCTTACTACTACTGATTCTGTGTTTGACAGTACGCGCGTATTTCGCGGCTATCATCGAATTCGGCCGACGTTAACCGATGTTTAACGAAGCCTGCGGGTTCCGTGTGTGTTAAGTGTTCGTTGGTGTTCAGTTGGTGCGCCTCGACTGGGCAAAATCGCGTAAAATGGAAACAGAATTTCGTTGTGAGGTTGAGGTTGGCCGTTGAAAAAAGTGAACATGGGAAGGTCCAAGTTTCCCGGGAAGCCGCCGAAGACGGTCACCAGGAAACGGATCAAAGTTCTCGGCCAGCCCGAGACAGTCCAAAGCGATTCGGTAACCGTCGCCGAGAACATCTACTACGGACTTTCCCTGTTCAACGAAACATTTGGTGACAACGAGAAGGTAATTCGTAGTTTACTTTCGTGTGTACGATCTGCTCGAACGCGCCTAATTAGGGTCACGTACGAAACGAACGTCCCTTCGCTTACAAACAACTGTATTTATTCTATAAGCGTCATAGCCACCCATACGGCGCCGATTCCGTGGCCAGAAAAACTCGGAGATTTGGCTGTATAATGAAGGTTAACCTATTAGAAGGGAATCGCAGCCTCGGAATGGCAGATGTGTATAATACGTACTGACGTATCGCTATAGTTGAATGTGTCAGTGACTCGATACAAGAGATTGTTCCATTGTTGTTGTTATTTTGTAAACATTATTTATTTACATTCTCTCCTTTCACCTTTCATTGCGTTTAACGTGACACGAAATTTTAATGTGTGTGCTAGAATATTGTATTTTTGAACTATTAAATACATTTTGTTATTACAACATTATTGTATACACTGTTTGAGAAAAAAATTAATACTTAGGAATGTACAAGTTTAACGTACTGATAAGATATTAATTCTTTCAAAATCCGAATTACTAAAAACATTATTTGTACTTATTATTGACATCGCTTTAATGTTTATATTTTTCTTTTATAGGAACATCCACCATTTCATGGTTTTAGCACTAAAGAGGCTAATCTTTCTGTGTCTTATATCAAAACACAACAACATGACACTGAAAATGCAACTGTTAAATCACCACCTGATGCTGTTGAGAAACCTGTACCAAAATCAAAGGAGCATAACACGGTCGCAGATGTTCAAAATTCTCCATCGAGTATTGAAACTAATGTAGAGCCAGTATGCAATAAAAACGAGGAACCGACAGAAAGCATCAAACAGGATGTGACTGCATTGAATTCCAAGTGTGCTTCTAAATTCCATAGACCTAAAAATCGCAGAAGTTGTAAAAACATTAAGTTCTCCAATTTCATGAAAACACCAGTATTAAAGTCAGTGAACAATATCTTAGATCAGCATCAACGAACAAGACAATTGCGTAACAGTACTGCAAAAAGATTACTGCAGAGGGCAAAATCTAACGGTAATAATGTACGCAATATGACCGTGCAATGTGGGGATAAACCAAATGCTGTAAGGAAGTTTATTTTGCCAGTTCGAAGTGCACATTCATCCAGAGTTATTAAGCCAAATAAAAGGTTTATCGAAGAATTGGAAGAGATTTCTAGTGCGGAACCCAGTGAAAATGATATTGGTACACACATGAAGAAAGCTAAATTTACATTGAACAAAATTTGTAATCAGGACTCGAAATTGATGGAGGGAAATCTTAGTAAATTGTGTACAAAATTGAAAGATAAGGAAGTGAAGAATAAGACCAAGAAAGTAATTCAGCATACAAACTCCAATGCCCAAACTGTAGTACCGTGTGCAAAAAGCTGCGAAAAATTAACATCTGTACAAGACGCACAAGTATCAAAAGTTATTAATACAGATGTAAAGAAGACTAATGTGTCTAATAAAAACAAAGTGGTGAAAGCTCTGTCAGATGAATCCAATAGTACTCAAGATTCTTCACAAAATGCGATTAGAAAGGCTCAGAATTTCAAATTAACTGTGTCTAAAAGTCAGAAACCACTTTCTGTTCCTACAAAAGTTCTTCCTGATTCCAATGTTCCAAGTTCAGAGTCTTCCAGGATTCAAACAAGGTCAGGAACTCAAAGTGAAGTCAATGATCTAGATGTTCAAACAAATTCTGAAGATACTGGAAAAACAAAGGAAACTACTAATACAAAGAATCAAGACAATTCTAATAATGGGAGTAAAACTGTAGAAGGAAATTCGGATAATTTTGACACAGAAAGTACATTGTCTGAAAGTGGAAGCGAACATAGTAACAATACAGAAGATGAACAATCAGAATGGACTGGAATGAAGTTGAATGGTGGAAAAGTCATTTTGAGGAAAGCAAGATTGAAGCTGGATAACAAATGTGTTGGAGGAACTGAAGGACCTTTTTCAACAACAAATAATAATGTTACAGGTGGAAACACTAACTTGGGTATGTATCTAAACACTAATTTGTTCTTATAATTAATTGAATACTTTAAAATAAACAATAAGTAGTTGACATTTAAAAACTATAAAATAACATTGATTGCACTTTTATAACGCTTTAGGATTAACAGGTACTATTAAATGTGGTGTGTGTGGAGCTGTACGGTTTTATCGATTTGTGAAACAAGCCAGAAAGTTCGGTATTCACAGTTGTGAATCCTGTAGAAAGTTTATTAGCAAAATGATTAAGAGACAGGCTTGTGCAAAATCTACAAACAGTACCCTTCCAGTTCTTCAATGCCATAAAGGAGATGGTTTATGCTTAATTCCACCTGTTGTACGAAGTCAACAATGGAATCTCATGAGATGTGTTTACAAAGCTAGATGTCCAGCATGTTGGCTAAAAATGTGTTTGAAATGTTACAACATTCCTTCTTCATTGAGAACGGGTTTAAATGGATTACTACCACCGATAATGAGAGATCCTCTGAGTATTCCCTTGTCATTGAGTCAAGAGGACAATGATAATCAAGGGCAAAAATTGATATCTTCTAAGTTAGGTTGGCCTGCAGAAGACAGTTCAGAGAAGAACCTGTTCAAGTCAGCTATGAATTGGAGAAATATAGAAATAGGTCAGAAAACCAGCTATCAAGGCACTGGTGGTGGTTTCCTGTATACAAAACTAGATAAATGTAAGTTATTTATTAATATATTTTCTTCTAATGTTTTCATTGCAGAAATATCTTGCATTCGCCATATGTGTCTAATTGTCGTAATATTTGTTTATAGTCGATTCATCGCTAAATATATCGCCTAGTAAAAAGAGAAGAAAAAACAACAGGATAAAAGTGAGGAAGAAAATAAAGAGTCCAATTTTCTCTTCACCACCTGCAAACCAATGTCCACAACCCCTTAGACAGAGACTTGAATTAAAAGGGCCAAGAGTGAAACATGTTTGTCGAAGCGCAAGCGTTGCACTTGGCCAACCAATAGCTACTTTTCCTTCTGTAGAAGGGAAAGAAGACACTGATAACAGTAAGCACATTCCGAAAACACTGAAGGAAAACGATAGGTCAGAGAAGAAAGATTGCACTAAAGAAAAAGAGCCACCAAAACACAATGATGAAAACACGGTGAATCATAATACTGTTAATGTAACACACCAATCCCATCTAAAAAGAGGAAAAACGCAGCAAAGTATCGCAATATCAAATTTTCAAGTGGTAAGTGGTTATAATAAAAAGAAGAAGAAAAAACAAATCCGTTTTACGGATTAATATGATTGGTCTCAGCATTTACGATACGATTTTACTTAGATTATGAAAAAAATAAAATTATTACAGGTACCTAAAACAAATAACGATGCACTACATACAGTGTCTATAGACTTTTGGGAACAATATGATCCTTCCGAAGTTGGTGCAAAGGGTTTCGCCCTTATTGGTTCAGAACTCTTCCATATCTCTGCTATTTGTTACCTTTGTGGAAGTGCTGGAAAGGAACCAGTAAGTAACGTGTATGTGTGTATTATTATTTACGATTGTACATTGTAACAATCTTTCCAGCTCATCCATTGTCAGTGCTGTTGTGAGCCATATCATGCCTTTTGTTTGGAACCCAGTGAATGGAATGCTTGTGCCCAACCAAACTGGTGCTGTCCTCGATGTACAATATGCCAATCCTGCCATCTAAGATCTGGTCCAAAATTGTCTTGCATTCGTTGTCGTCAATCATTTCATCATTCGTGTTTGTCGAAATCTGGTGTTAGTGCAAGACTTTATAGTCCTGAAAGACCTTTTGTCTGTCAAAGTTGTGTCAAGTGTAAAAGTTGTGGTAGCGAAGGAGTTAATGTTCACGTCGGCAACTTACCATTATGCTCGATGTGTTTTAAACTACGCCAACAAGGAAATTATTGTCCACTGTGTCAAAGGTGTTACAACGAAAATGATTTTGATACAAAGGTGAGTACGTGTAACACTTTTTCGAATTACTAAATGTGTATAAAATACGTGTACAGGTACAAGCATTCTTCTATACAACAGAATATGATATTACTTTTATCGATACTCCATATAATCTTCATTTTTTGGTTGATTCTTTAAAACACTGTTTGTTACTTCAATGATTTCATATTGTAATTTTCAGATGATGGAATGTAGTGAATGTTCTTATTGGGTACATGCCCGTTGCGAAGGACTTTCCGATGAACGGTATCAAGTTCTTAGTTATTTACCTGATTCCATTGAATTCACATGCAGCCAATGTTCCTCTAATCCTAATTCAGTTTGGAGAAATGCTATAGAGGCTGAACTGAAGGCGGGTTTCATAGGTGTTATAAAATCATTAAGTAAAAATCGAAAGGCTTGTGCTGCACTGAAGTGGAGCCCAAGAAAAGAGTGTTTATGCAAACCCATCCCCAGCATAAGAAGGTTAGATTTTTCGAATGAAAAATCGGATTTGATTACAATGAATACTAAAGAAATTCTAAATGGCGAAGAATCCGAAGAATCTAATAACGAAAAGTCTAAAGACTCCGAATCTAGTTCCAGTAGTAGTAATTCAAAATCAGATGGAACGATTAGGGTAACTGAAGATCCACCTGCAGATTGTTCTAATAGAAGAGGTTTGAGACGACTTCGACAAAAGTTTCATCTAAAGGAATGCTCTGTTAGAGTAAAGAACTGTGTTCTGAGAGATAATCAAGACAGTGATAAGAAAGATTCGGTAGTTCAAGAGAATTGCAACGGTAATTCAAATGACACAGAATGTCATTGTTTGGAGCAGCAAATCATTGTGAGACCTTCACCTACACTGATGTCGGTAAAACGAAAGGTTAATAACAATGAATATAAAACGTTATTACAGTTTCATAGTGACATGGAACATGTAATAAACTGTACTGGAACTAAAGAACTGATCGACGCCTATCACGAAATTTTGCAAGAGGTATTTCCGTGGTTTAGTCCAAAAAGTATTAAATGCAGTAATGGAAAATCTGATACATTAACGCCCACTAAGGACAATTGTCAAAACGATAGCCCTAATACAAAATTAGATGATTCTATACTTGAAGTATGGAAAGAGGAAGTAATGAAAGCACCGAAAACAATCGCAGCTAAAACAGCAAATCTGTATAACGTTCACGTTGAAGACAGTAGATCGTGCTGTTTGTGCAAAGGTTTAGGCGACGGTCAGGAAACAAAAGAAGGACGGCTCTTATATTGCGGACAAAACGAGTGGGTGCACTCGAATTGTGCACTTTGGTCCAATGAGGTGTTCGAAGAAATCGATGGTTCTTTACAAAATGTTCATAGTGCTATTTCGAGGGGCCGTTTAATCCGTTGCTCCGAATGCGGAAAGAAAGGTGCAAGTGTTGGTTGTTGTGCGAAAAACTGTAGCAGTACCTTTCATTATCCTTGCGCGAGGAACATTGGACTCGCGTTTAATGATGATAAAACAGTATTTTGTTCTTTGCATTTAAACAACTGTTCGCAAAAAACGTTACAGAACGAAAATGATTTTAGTTTACGAAGACCAGTGTACGTGGAGCTGGATCGTAAAAAGAAGAAGTATGCGGAGCCGAGTAAAGTGAAAGTTATGATCGGTTCACTGATAGTCGATTACTTAGGCACAATTGTACCGGAATATTCCGACACAGTTGAAAAAATTGTACCTTGCGATTATAAATGCTCTCGGTTATACTGGTCTACGGTAAATCCATTTAAAATTGTAAGGTATTACATCAGGACGTACGTACAAGTGTATGTTCCCGATGTTTCTCCTGACCTGGAAAATAACATAACCATCGATCATTCAAAAGAAAAAGAAAAAGAAGATTTGTTGAATACACAAAAAACGGAGTTCTTAACTGTGAAGCAAACTTTAGATGGTTTAATTGATACAGTCTGCAATAAGGAAGTCGATGAAAACTTAGCAGAGCAAAATAATACAGATCTGTTACCTCCTGAATTGAAAGAGGCCATATTCGAAGATTTGCCGCACGATTTGTTAGATGGTATTTCCATGCAAGATATATTTCCTAAAATGTCGTACGAAGATTTTTTAGCCATGGACCTAAAAAATGATGGTACATTTGCAACAGATCTATTCAAAGACGATATGCTGACGTCCGAAGTGGATGAAATCATAAAACCGCCGGAAAGTAAAGCTTCGAAAATCGATCCTTCCCTGTTAGAATTCGGAGCGCATAACGATCTTTGGGTGCACCTAGAAACGAAAACTTCCGTTCAAGATTTAGTGGACGATTTGATGAATTCTAAGAATCAAAAACACGGAGGCAGAGAATTGAAGAGGTCTAAATCAGAGGTAATATCAAATAGTCCGTTGGTGGTTGGGGGACAGAGACATCATCAGCGATCTTGTAGTTTAACTTGGAGTTGCAAGTTGGACGGTACATACGGTCCCAGTATAAAAAGGCGAAAATTATCGAGAAACTCGAGCATGACAAAATCCAGCGAGACAAGCATGATGGTATTGGATTCGCAAACTGAACGTCCACCTACCTTGCACGAGTTAAGAATTCCAGATAGTATTATGGTTACCGTCGGCAGAGCGAACACGCCTAACATCTTATCTGATTCTTGGCTCTTTTGGCATACAAGGCAACAGCCACGAATATTACAGGTCGATGGGACTGCTGATCCAAGTAGTGCCAGCGAATGCAGTTCACCGGAATATAACATTGATGAGAAAACCACAGGATTACATGTACCGCCGTGTACAGAACACTTGTCTATCCCACAGTTAGATGGTATCAACGATGAATCCTCTTGCGACAGTAACGAATTCACTGTACCCACCGAGAAGGATTTTAACTCGTGTACAACGTCGCCGAACAACATTTTACGACCGAAACGAATATTTGGATTTATTAGATCGCACCTGGCCAAGAATAATGAGAAACCACAGAAGAGCAAAGTTAATTTCTTTAAAGAAAGTAATTTAAAATTGAACTTAGAAATTCCACAATTAGACGGTGCCGATGATATTTCCAGTGACGATGAGTGCATATCACCGCAGCATGTTGAAAATGAGAGGATCAATGTTACCTCTCAATGTGACGCGCCGTTCGATCACATAGATCGTCCAGTCACTTGCAAACGATGCCGTTGTACCTATAGAACGCAAGATAGTTATAATAGACACTTGACGCATTGTGATATCATGATAACCAGCGACAGTGATTCGGAAACCATGGATAACAAACTGGCATCGCCTGACTCCAGATTTTCACCGAGCGTTGGTTCTATATCTCCACAGTTTATAACTCTGTCGCCATCAGAAGGTCACACACTTTCTTCTGATTACCCAGACATACAGGCTACGTCTCCGTTAGAAGCATCTGTACCATCTCCTCATCCAGCGATACAAATTGAACCAATAGCACAAGCAATTATTACACCGCAAATTCATACACACGCCACTGTGGAAACTGTGCATCAAACAGTATTAACATCTAATGATATGATTGTACAAACACAGTACACTAGAACAACAACCACATTACCAAATCCTACGGTATTACCTCAAGAGAGTACTGTTCAGATAACAGAAATCACGGATTCACCGTCTGTTACGAGTGATTCTAGTATTACACCGAATATCGTTAACACACCAATGAATTCCCCCGATGGTGCGAGTTCTCAAACTGTTCCGAGTCCACAAGTGTCGCCGACATTTTCTTCTACTGGTGTACAAACCGCGAATAACGAATCACAAGCGAATGTTCAGATGACCAAATTGGCCAAATCAAAGTCTCCGAGAGCACCGAAATCCCGAACAAAAGCTGTTAAAACACAAATCACGAAGAATACTGCACAGCCCCATCATGGACATCATAGGTTTCAAGCGGTACAAAACAATGCTCCAGTTATACAGCTGCAACAAGCACAAAGACCAAGCGGGCCAACAGTAATATTACAGCAAGTGGCATCGCCTGGTATTATGTCATATGTGGAGACATTGCAACAACAATCTGGTCAAAATCTTCAGTACGTAACAACAATTGGTGGTCAACACGAAACTGCGTTTAAACCCCAGTTTATAACAACTAATCACTTAGTTCCTGGTGCATACATACAAGCACCTTCTGATAATTTATTGGCATTACAAAATGGAGGTATATCGATACTACCAAGCGTGCAAATTGCCCAACCACAACCGACAGTTCTAGGGACAATTATCCAGCAACAACCGAGTGCAATTCAGTGTGGGGTTATATCATCCGAGCAACTGTTATTAAGTTCAACTCCAACATTGGAAATGTTTACAGATTCAACAGGCAGTATGTTTCTTTCGAATCAACCAATGTATTACGGTCTGGAAACCATCGTAAGCAACACAGTAATGTCCTCCAGTCAGTTCATGGCTGGCACGGTGCCACAGGTGTTGGCAAGCAGTTACCAAACAACAACGCAAGTTTTTCAAGCTTCTAAACTTATGGAACCTATTGTGGATGTTCAGACTGTTCCAGGTGTTCCAACAGTAACAGCGGTACAGGCAGTACAAAATGTACCTGGAGTGCCCAGTGTGCCCAATGTCGCTACTGTACCAAGTGTATCCAATGTATCCAGTGTACCCAATATAACCAACATACCTACCGTACCTCCTAATCTATCCAATGTACCTAATGTCCCAAATGTACCCACTATACCAACTATACCCACAGTTCCCTCTGTATCCAATATAACAAACATAACAAATATACCCACTGTATCCAATGTACCAACGATACCCAATGTATCCAGTGTACCCACTATACCCAGTGCAGCTAACGTATCTTGTGTACCTAGCGCATCTAATGCGGCTAGCGTACCTAGTGTACCTAATGCACTTGGTGTGCCCACCGTACCTACTACACCCAGTGTATCTGGTATACCTAATGTATCCAACATGTCGAGTATACCTAGTGCACCTGCTTTACCTAGTACTTCTAATGTACCTAATATACCGACAGTACCCACCGTTCAAAATGTATCCAATATCTCTACCCTACAACCTAACCTACAATCCGTGGGGAATGTTCCCAGCATACCCACGGTACCCAGTGGATACGTAGTAGTGAATCAATCGACACCTATAACAGAATCTATCGTGCCACCACAAATCAATATATCTGCAACACCGAAACAGAGTTTCGGCCCAGCCACGTGTAACACCATGTTGCCTGTATCGTGTCAAAGTGTCGAATCAATAACATCGATACAGCTACCGCACACATGTTCGAGCGATCCACCGACTGTCACGAACGTGACGTCGTCGCCAAAGTTGTTACAAAGCTCGATACCAACGATACCAAGGGTGGCCGTACGGCCGAGCCCAGTCTCGAATTCGACGCAACTGAGCAACGGACCATGGAAAATCACCGAGCCACTGTTCGGCACGGAACAGATAATGAACAACTGTGTCCGACCGTACTTCGACTCGAAACACGTGTCCGAGAATACCAGTATGATAAAGTCTAGCATATCATCTAAAATACTCCCATTACCTAACCACTGTATAACACAACGGGACATAATTGTAAATAAGTTAAATCACGATGTAAATAATGTGCATAATAATTATAGTAGTGCCGTACCGAATTCGAACAATATTAATGTAAGTACAAGTAATAATCCAGTTATCGCTAGTTCGACTGTACAAAATAAAATAACAATGTCCGCAAGCAACGTACCGACGAGTCGACCGATGAACAGAGTATTACCGATGCAAGCTGTCACGTACCGGAGCCAGAACTGATGGAAACGAAGAAGCAAATTGTCGAGGACATGGTGGTACTGCCGACAGCAAAGAAACCCGACGCGGCGATAAGCGACATAAACGACCCGCTGAAATTGAACACCGAGACGATCGAGAAGGTGAAGGAGAATCTTAAATTGGAGCTGGACAAGGAGAAGTTGCAGAACGCGTCGTTGAAAATAGTATTACAAAAGCAGCTGCAAGATGGTTCCTATAAGATCACACACAACATGAAGGCGGTAGCACAGAACAAGAAATCGTCGCCGCAAGTAACGTCCGTGGAGATACTGCCGTCGAAACAGGTGCCGCCGCAGATAGCCTCGTTGCAATTGCTGCCGATAAAAACGTTCACATTGAAAGCGAACAAGATCGACGAGAAGGTGAAACAACCGATCGACAACAAGTTCAATCTGTTGAAGACCAAGACCCCGCCGGTTGCTGTTAAAAAACCACGAATCATAAGCAAATCGATGAAAACCGTTCCGCAGAAATTGCAGCACACGCAGAAAAGTGCCGTGAAAGGGCCGACGCTGATGTACGAGATAAAGTCGCAAGACGGATTCTCTCATACCGCGTCCTCGATGGCCGAGGTATGGGAGACCGTGTTTCAAGCCGTGCAGAATGCTCGAAAAGCGCACAATTTACCACCGTTGCCACATAATCCTCTGCTTGAGAATCTCGGCCTGGAGAACAACGCCACGGTGTACTTGGTCGAACAACTACCAGACGTGAACAGATGCACGAAGTACAAGACCAAATTCCATGATCTGGCGCCCCCGAAAACAGGAGACACGGAAAGTGATCTGCCATACACGTGCGACAATGGTGCTGCTCGCGCGGAACCGTTCAGAGGACGGAAAGTCCATGACATGTTCAGTTGGCTGGCGTCCAGGCACAGACAGCAACCAAAAATGATCGCCATTTCGGAAGCCGAATCCAGGTGAGGAATTAATTTCAGGGCTTGGAAACTGTTATGATGTCGATTTAGGTTCTTGAAACAGTTATGAAGAACTTTCATCCTGAATAAATGTTAAGAAGAACCGAAATTTCAGACTGTATCAGTTATTTTTTAGGTTCTGTATAAGTTCGAAAACACCCAGTTGTATCAAAGTTTCGAGCAAATTGCCAGCAAATAATGGTAAAATTTGTCTAAGAAACTATAGTCATCTGTTTCCGCATTTAACTTGGGTTTTGCAGGCGAAGTCTGCTGACAAACTGGTAAAGCAAATTGGCAGCAAATTAGCAGCAAGTTTTACAACACAACTCAGGGTAACTAACCTAGGCTATATTGCAAAACTTTGCTACTAATTTCCTGCTAATCTGCTGCCAATCTCCGAGCATATTGTTGCTAACAGATCTTGCATCAAACTTGTAACCATGTTGAGTACGTAACATTATAACAGGTAGTGGACAAAATTTGCCTTTGCAGGTTTGCCTGACTGGGCAGTTATAGAATCAATTATCGTAACGATTGTACAGAATTCTGCAGTAAACGAAATCACAACTATTACAGTTTTTTAAATTATTATGAATAAGTAAATATGTGTGCACACATTTGTACATATACAATTATTTTAAAATATAAAAAGTCTGTGTTAGTATAAATTTTTAACTGTTTAACAAAATTTTACCATAGTGACTTGGGGAAAACATATACGTATACAGTAATCTATAAACGTAATATGTAAAATTCTGTTACTATGAAAATTGATTTTATAACCATTTTAGAACTTATATAAAACCTAAAAAAAATACCGGAATGAAACTGATACAATCTGAAATTTAAGTTCTCCATAACAGTTATTCAGAATAAAAGTTCTTCATAACTCTTTCAATCGGTACCTTTACATAACAGTTTGAAACAGTTATTTTCGAAACCGTTTCAAGCTCTGATTAATTTGTTGCTATGAAGGACTGTCACGAATTGAGTATGATATATTGTAATTCTGTTTTTTCTTCTGCAGACGAGTGGCAAGTACAAATCTGCCGATGGCGATGCGGTTTAGAATACTTAAGGAGACATCGAAAGAATCGGTTGGAGTTTACCATTCTCACATTCACGGCAGGGGTCTATTTTGTTTAAGAGATATCGAGGCTGGAGAAATGGTTATCGAGTATGCCGGTGAGGTACGTGAAAACGCGGGAAAAATTTAATTCAATGAAATTTCTTTGATATGAAATGATTGATAATGCATTTACTTGTGCTTATTGTTACATAAATATTGCAGGTGATTCGAGCCTCTTTGACCGACAAACGAGAAAAGTACTATGACAGTAAAAATATAGGATGTTATATGTTTAAAATCGATGATCATTTGGTCGTTGACGCTACAATGAAGGGAAATGCAGCGAGATTTATTAATCACTCATGCGAGGTATCTATTTGCGTGACTTTCTTTTCTTCCCTAAAACTTTCTAAATAGTGTTATAACAAAAATAGTTTAAAGCAAATCTATATAGAACACATTTACGTGTATATCATAATAATTCATATCCGTAATTTAAAGTTATTAAATGTACTGAAAGAAAGAGTTTATCGATTCATGTTGATTAAATCGAAGTGATATATCGAGATATATTTGAACTACGGTATGTTTTTCTCTTGATATGTATTTGGTGAATAATACTGTCTAAAAGAAGGGGGGATAACTGATCTAAAAATCTCCAGTAAAATTTTAAACTCCAAAATTTGTATAGGTTAATTATAAACAAAAAACATTAACAGAATTCATTTTTTCTATAAATACCTATTAAGAGACTGCGGATATTTATACTAATATAGATTTTGATACATTCGTTTACAAAAATTGAAATCAAGTAGAAAGTTCTTTACTCTATTAAAGTAAAAACATCATGTACTGAATTTTATAGACCTGAATTTACTATGAACGCATCAAATCTGCAGTCTATATATCGATAATATAACATATCATACATGCCTAAGTTCACAGCTGACTTAAGCACACATAAATAATGAAACATTTCACTAGTTACGTCCACACGTTTTAGTACACCTTTATTTATCTTTTGCTACTGATGTTATAAAATTTAAACGTTAATCAGAACAATAGAACTAGAAAAATGGTTTGTAACGTTTGAATTATGGTGTTACAGCCGAACTGTTACTCGCGAGTGGTGGACATCTTAGGTAAGAAGCACATTTTAATTTTCGCTCTTCGTCGCATTATCCAAGGAGAGGAATTAACGTACGACTACAAGTTTCCCTTCGAGGATATCAAGATTCCATGCACCTGCGGCTCCCGCAGATGTCGTAAATACCTCAATTGAGACTGCATATACAGCTATCGTAAGCAGCCAACAGGCGCAGCAAACCATATGTGCTATAATTACGCGCGCTTCGGCATAGGATTCATTTTATTGAACGTTATTCATTTAATCATCAAACTATTTTCAGAGATTGCAGCTTTTTATTACTATAATGGAAAATAGATTATACAGTTAACGAAACGGGGAGTGAACCACAACAAAATATTAGAATGGCCAGATATATAATAGTAGACGAGGCATCGCGTTATGACAATGTTATTTTAAACGGCTACAGTTATCGTAGTTGATTTAAGGGGGGGAGGGAGGGGAACTATACTTATAGCAATAAACGATTGAACATGTCCTGCTTTCGTATCCCGACGAGCCATGGGCGGCGAGCACCACGCCCCCCCTGGGGCTCAATTGAAAGTGTTACTTTTATCCACGCCTGTGCTTTCACGCACGTCTTCTAGACTCTACTTATTATCTACTATTGAGGCTTAAGTGTACGAGTTTGTCGTCACTTTACACTAAATCGACAGCATACACCGTATGCATGTTCCATGTATACATACTTAAGTTAGAATTCTAACAATTCTGCCCCGCGATTGGACCAAGACGACGAAAGGACATGGAAACGGAACGGCAATGTATAGCACGAGAAAAAAAAAAGAATAAGAAATCAACGTACTTAGAGGGCGGATCGACGTTCTCCACGACCGTTACTTATTTCTTCTAAAATACGCCTCCGCCGCGTAGAAACGAGAAACACACACAGACACACTTTTAATGTGTTGAACTGTGAAACGGTCGCATCGTGAATACATTGTGCGTATTTAAACAAAAAAAAAAAACAAACAAAAAAGCGCGCACGCGATATTTAAACGAAAGCCACGTATGTAATTATATATGTATTTTATGTGAAACGGAATTTAGTGTACAGTGCACGATCGACTGCGTGACATTTTATGTCTGCTGTAGGGCCAGATTTCAAAATGTTCTTGTAAAATATTGTAATTGTTAGAATTAGACATTGTCTCTTGATGTAAGTACAGCTACCGGTTTAATTTAAGCTGAAATAACGTTTAAGCGTTAAGGGAGAAAAAATGCGCGCACGCATTAGAGAGAGAGGGAGAGAATGGCAAGAGGGAACAGTTTTCCCTGGCGTGCGGGATATAATTGTTGGAAGGTGTACCTACTTTGGCAGACATTGATGATATTTTTTAAGTCTTATTGTAGTTAACGAAAAGCTAACGGACACAAAGCAAAAAAAAAAAAGAAAAAAAACGGGAAACGTGTGAACACTTTGCTGCTTCCCGACGAAAATTTCGAAGTCTGTTCGTTTCAAATGGAGGATTAATGTACGCGCAATATTATTTTGATATGTTTTATTGTTTTTTTTTTTTTTTTATATAGATTTTTAAACACTGCACCCATGCGTTTGTGCTTCCGCCTTGCCAATATTACAATATTAATCTCATTACTTTATTTTTATATTTAACGAAAGCCGCTAGAGAGAGGAAAATCCAGCGAGAGAGAGAGAGGGAGAGAGAGAGAGAGAGAGAGAGAGAGAGAGAGAGAGAGAGATTTTATTTTACAGAAACTCGATGGAATCGCTACGAATCATGTATAAGAGTTCAAACGAGATTTCTGCCGAAATTTTTTGTTTCTTAACGAATCGTATGAAAGAAAAGCAAACAAACGGAATGGAATATCATGGAACTGATTACGTTGACGAATTGTAAAAACGTGAAAAGAAAAGCAACAACAAAAAATGATTAGATCATTGTTTCGGGTAAAACTTTTCTAGAACACCCGTCTAGGAAATGTTCGTGATAATTTCCCACACTGGGAAACATTATAAATGTTCTTTATAGGAATATATTTCAGACATTACGGATATTACGTGTTCCGTAAGGAAGGGAAAGAAAGAGAGAGAGAGAGTGAGTGAGGGGTGGGGGATGAAGAAAAAGAAAAGAAATAATGAAGAAGAAAAAAAAAACACCTTTCTGTGAAATGCAGTTTTGCCTTACCTTTAAATGTACCTACGCTTTAACCCGGTGATAGATTTTAGAAGTACCCCGATATGACTTATATTCGAACCGAGAGGAAGAAGATAAAGAAAATGAAAATGTGGAAACTTGTAATTGCGTCTATGCATCGATTAAGCTACGATAAAGTATTTTAGTGCGATTAATCAATTTCTGCCGAGGTGGTTGTCCCTTGAAATTTTGGTGCTCCGTGGACACCGTTAAGTGCACTTTATAAATGAAAAAATGGCCTAGAGTAAGAGATAGTAAGACGGCAGCGGAGGAAGAGTTTGATAATAATAAGAGAGAGAAAAAAAAATGCGTTATACGAAGAATATTGATCGTGGATTATTTAAAGAGGTAATATAAAGAAACTAAATGATGGCAGGAACATTATTTGAACACGCGAGAGCGGAGCGTCGTTCGTCGTCGGTCGTGCGACAGTTTTTTAAAATCGGCCTGGTTTGGTACAAAATGCGTATGCTGATTTGTAAAAAGTTATAAAAGAGGGGGGAGGGGCGAAATGAAAAAATAACCGAGGGGGTGAGAAACGAAAATAAAAAAAAACGTAATGGAAACTTGTTCTGGTCACGAGAAATTGCCATTTTTCTTTCTTTTTTTGTTTAGGTATTTCGAATCTTCTTTCTTTCTTTTTTAAATACTACGATTACCGATAATCGAATAACTATTATTGGAGGATGAATATTGTTAATATAATGATAATTAATTTTAATCTGTATAAAAAACAAATGGTGAACGACGATGACATATAAAGAAAAGGTAATTTACTTGAAAATATAATAGCAATGTTAGATATTTTATTGATATTTATTACTTACGGATGACGGTTTTAGGGTTGACGAGAGAAGTGCTAATTAAATTTAAAGAAAAACACACACACACACACAATTTAGAGCATGGTGCACACGCTATGGCTAATATTGTTCAGACGATTTAACGAACGTCGACGTTTTAATAATTTTTTTTTTAATAGAAGTGGGAGAGGGTACATTCTTTCCCGCCTCGACGAATGCATTATTACTCTTGTGATGATTGTTATGTCACCATCGATTTCTTTGGGATTACGAAATATACAATATATACCCGGTGTATACTTTGTACTCCCATCGTGACGACAGTCCATGCCGAGCGTATGTTCACGTGTTTCTGTAAACAAATACACAAACACTGGTTTCGTAATTATTTTTTTATTTACATAACAAGGACAAAAGAACGACGAAAAAGGAAACAACACGTGAATAAATGTTCTATGCTCTGAATAAAAAAAAAAATCAGGACACACGTAGTTTTTAGCGGCCGCGTAACAGAATATATATGTACGGAAGATTATACAATTATACATACATACATATAGATATGTATTATTATTTACAATTCTTTTTCCGACATATATGTACTTTCAAAATGAATTCATCGAGCGCTTTCGAGAAAAACATACTCTGTATACTTTGTACCGAACACACGATACCACCCCCTCGAGACTCGCGGAGTCCGTTTACGGTGACTCCTTTTAGTATTACGCATCCAGCCTTCATTATTGTCATTATTATTATTAACGATTAATTATAATATACACGTGAAGAATAGCATAATACATCACAGCTCATTTACTTGTGCACCGTTTGTTTACTACACACCCGTCGGCACCTTCTTCGTCTCTTTCTTTTTTCTTTTTTATTTGCTTCTAATAGGGAAGAAAGTACGTGATTTGTGTGTGTGTGTGTGTGTGTGTGTGTGTGTGAGAAAGAAAGAGCAAAAAAACAGGTTAATTGCCGTCGACGTTTAGAGAAATAATACCGAGTGTGTGTGCGTGTGTAATGTCTTCCTTCGAGCGTTGCGTATGTATGTTTGTATACCTCGAGGAGAAATTTTTGCTTTAGAGTAATGGAAACGTTCGTACATCTAATAGTTTCCTTTTTTTTTTTTTTTGGTGTGTTAATGAAAAAAAACGAGTGGTTAAGCTATTACTTCAACTGCGAGGAATTTCAAAGCGACGTTGCATCCTCATCGCGATTCCCAAAGAAAGTCTCCGATGTAATAATCTCTTCGGGACCGTTTTCCGGTTGTCCGTTTGATTCGTGATTGGACGAGGAATTTCTACAAAGTCGCTGCGGATGCGAGAGGAAAAAAACGCTTTTCAATGAGACACACACACACACACACACACACACCGTCACACAGAGGACACGCACGCATTACATGTATAAAGGAGAAAAATGGGGGACACTACTAATATTCTAATGTTTAAACGAAATCGTAGAATTCTCGACTATTGTACTTATTTAAAGGCGTGGGGGAGAACGAAGAAAACTATAAAATGAAGTAATACTGTCGATAAATTGAACGGGGGGAAAGAAGGCGAAGAAAAGGTAGAAATGGGGGAACGAAAGGAAAAAAGAAAATTGGAAAAATTGTCTGTGATTATCAGTCATAATAATCTTTAGGTCGACATATTTTTTAGAGAATATTTTTTAGCAAATTAACAAAATTTATGATATACCCCTATTATTGATATGATATTGGATCAAACACACGCTACGCATAATATTTAACGAGCGGCGAAGCGAAAAAGTGCGGACAGGGATGTGAGACGGATGATGATACGAGGAGAAAATTTGGAAAAACGGAAAAAAGAAACTGTGTAAAAGTTGCGAGCTGTTTAAATAGAATTATGAATAGTTGAGATCGATGGCTGTTGTAAAATATTCTGTGTTTGGACAAATAATTAATTGAAACTATTTATAATATTTTTTTTGGGTTCTTAAAATCCTTGTATGAAAAAATAATTGGGGGGGGGGGGGGGGAGAGGAGTGAAAAAACCGAGATGGACAAAGAATCCGGGCGATCGACTCGTGTTTTGCGTACGGTGTACAAGAGGGACGAGTAAACGAAGTACATTTGACGAGTATTGTAAACAGCAACAAAGAGAAAAAAACAATTCAAAACCTAAGAAAAACGCTGCGGGCAAAAATGGAACGTATAAATACTGTACGCGTGTTTCAGCGTGTAAAGTGTCGTTATAAATCTCTATCTACTTATTGTAGGGAACTCACGCGAGTAATTGTAATAATTACATTAACCAGATGATGACGCATACCGCATAGAGGAGTGACACATAACGCTTTCATTTCATACACACACACACAGACACAATACATACGACCATACACACACATTACATATACAGCAAGGATACTAAACACACAATACACAACCGTACGCTCATGTTTTGTATTTAAATGTTTTGTTAGTATTATATGAGAAATTAACAAAATAAAAACACAAATGGAAATATCATATTTCCCGTGCTCTATGTGAACAAAGCATCCCAATTACACACGGAAACAGTATGGGGCCCGATTCGAATTATTGTGGTACACGCAGTTATTTCTCTGACTCTGCGAGAATACGGCGAATTTGTTCCAGTGAAAGTTGTTTTACTTTATGCAAAAGATTCAGTACAGTGTTTATTACTTTAATTTTATAAAAGATTCGTAGAGATTTCATTATTTTTTCAAGTGAAACGACAAATTTCTATTTTATCCGTTTCATTTCCCATGTGACGTAAATTCTAGTGGGTAATTTAATAAAACTTTCATTTCACTTCACCATTTGGAATTCTTAATAAAAAATCACAAATTTCTCTTTATGGTTTGCTTCTGAATTTGCACGAACAATCGGCTATTCGTTTATCAGGTATTCGTAAAAGTATTCGAGACAAATGTCGTATGGTTTGAGTTCTCAGTGAATCATTAGTAAGTAAATGTAACAAAAGAATGTATTTATACACGCATCAGTTCCATTGTTTCTATGTTTCTCATGTTTCGAACAGCGACTACACATTCGTGCATTTATTTATTCATATGTGAACATACAGTATATAAAATAAAACAAAGTTAGTACTGTCATGCAAGTTCACAGAGTTTTCGAGTTCTTTTGAGTTTAGTAAAACCTTTTAGAAAACAAGTTTCCTTTTTATCGTTCATTCTTGAAATGTTGCCTCTACAAACGAAACATTTGTTGTTGATATTAACAGTCTGATAAATCGTTGATGAAGAGGTAATACTTGAACGCATAATGAAACGTACGTAGTAACAATCTGCAGTTCCACTTTCACCGCACGAAATTGTTATTAAACTCTTGACGAGTGAAAATACTATAAAAGCTTAACTGCTGCATTGAACTCTTCCCATAAAATGACACAACTTTCGTTTAATCTGTCAAGTGCTATCGCCACGTACTCTAGCAGAAAGAAATATTCAGAAACCAATGACTTTTACACTATTTTTTTTTACTTTCACACCGGTTTAAAAACTGTTTCCACCATGCCATTCCTAAAAAAAAATGCTACATTGTTGTGGTATGGTAAAAATAGATAGTTTCGATGAAAATGGAATTGGCAATAAAAGTCACTGGTGTAAGAACACATTTTCTTCCGTTGTATACGCGCCCCCATTAAAATGTCGCGGTCGAATAATGTTTATCTAAA